GCGCATGGAGGGCGAAGGGGGTCGGGGCGATGGTCCTGAATAAGCAGGGAACATAGACCGCAGAAAACTAACCGTACTTCAAGTCAAACGACCTTTATTCGACTTCTTTTTGCAACCTTCCTCTAAGAAGGGTACAGTGGATTTAATGGCCAGATGGGATGTGCAATGTTTGGCTTGATGGTTGGATGATAATGTTTTTGTTTTTAAATATACATGGCATTTGGATGTGCTTGCACAAATCTGAACATTATCTCCGTTATACTCCACCAATTGATGCCTGACAACCCTTTGGGACTGCTGTGGGTGTTGTTTTTGGGACCCCGGATGTCACCATGGGAAACACAAATTATAAAATATTATATATATATATGTTTTTTTGGATACCCCACATGATCCATCAGCATCCAACATGAGCCCCATGTCAAATTGTGCTCCTCCCTGTCAATCTGCTGACGTTTGGCGCACGAGGATGAGGATGGTCTCTTGAAAGATGGCCTCGAGGAGCTCAAAGCTGCAGCCGCCAGGATGCCGCGGCCGGAACGGCCACAGGAGCCCCAGTGGAATTGGAAGACACGGTCTGACCAGTGGAAGAGCTCGCACTCTTGGCACTCCGGGCAGCGCTTCCAGGGTTGGAACACGCGTCAACCGTGGCACCGTTGGGGCGATCGTGGCTACGGGCGACAGAGCCACACCCCGCCGTGGCGATGAGCATTTTGCAGCTTGGTGGGAGTGTTTCACGGTCGGTCTCGGTCACAGGTTTAGGGTTTAATGATTCAAACTGGATTCCGACCCGTAGAGTTGGTTGTTGGGTTGTGCGAGTTGCTAGCTTGAAGAGTTGCCTCTTGCAGGTGGAGACCAACAACCAAGTCACGTAGTTTTCCACCGCTTCCCACGTTGGGCAGGTGGAAGTTCAAAGGGAGTCACATTCAAACATGGAAGTCGAAAATCGTTTTGCTAGCCTGTTGAGGGCCCCTTTTACTTTACAACAAATATATGGGTTTCCTTGGTCATTTGGGTTTACCTTTTTGCGTTTGTTTGCGAAGATCAGCGTGCTCTCCAGCCAATGACCTCGGGACCTGGGTCGCAAATCAATTCACGACACGGTGCGAGCTAGACTGCAGCTAGGCAGCTAGACGTGATCCACTGAGGAAGTCCCACGAAATTGGGGAGGGAAGAAGGAAACGAGGCAACAACATTGCCTATTTGGGTTAGTTTTCTTGGCGCCCACCGAGGACCGAAGATGACACTTACGACCTGAAGCGGCAGATGACCGACAGGTCACCCTTTTAAGCGCACAGCAGTAAGTGGCCGCGGCCAAAAAAAGGAACTCAAGGTTCAACTGTGGGTATATATTTTTTGCTTTGTTGTCCCGGTCTACAGAACATGTTGACACTTTGCAAATCACACCCGTTCCACCATAATTATTACAATGTGCATCATATGATCATATGCCACAGTAATTCAGGTGCTTTGCAACCAATACTTGCCCGTCATGTTTCAGGGCTTGCTCCAGCAAAAGTTTTGAGTACATCCCTGCCTCGAGGACAATTCCCCAACATTTTGGTGTCTTTTGGAGTGAGATAAGAAGGGTTCTTTTTGACATAGATAAAATATCATATATATATATGATATATGATTTAGTTTATACTGTATAGCATCGTTGGCAAGTTTCCGGGCTCCGCCGATGATGCACTTGCGCTTTTGAATGTCTCAGCCCTGGAGTTCAGACCCTTTTCTTCTTCCGTTGACAGTGGCCTTCCACCTGTCCTTCAGAGGTGGCCAGATGCAATGCCTATTTTCCTGAAGTTCATTTGCAAATTCTGGAGAAGATGTTCCAGGAGCCGGGGAGCAAGGAAAGAGTATGCGTTCAAAGGTGTTTTGTGTTCTTGCTGTCGGCTTTTTGAGTCGCATCATGCTTTTGCCCAGATGTGACTCAAGAAGACTACAATGATCCAATATGAAGATCCAGATGTGGGGATTGCTTTGAACCCCACGGGGCATTCAGGGATGCCGGGATGCCTGCAAAATACAGTGGACCTTTTTCTTTCGTGACATTTTGGTGGTTCTTGGTGTTTTTGCATGGACATCACGGGGGGCACCTCAATGAATTGGTGTTTGGTTTCAGAGTCAAACAGTTGAGTTTGATGCGCTGTGGAATGCAAGGGGTGCGTTTGGAGTTCCAAGTTTGTCCTACAGTGGAGTCAATTTCTTGGAGAGCCTGTGATGCGGTGCTGTGGAGTTAAACAATTCTTCACTGGCCTAGGGAGTCCAGGTTCCGACCCAAATTGAAGGCGGAGTACGGTGCAAGGTGGGACTCTGGGCGGTTCCTGTGAAGTACCCATTACAGTGCTAATTTCCCTAGGGCTCCAACCACCTCTTGAGAAGATGGTTCGGGTGGGATTGGAGGGTCTAACCACCTGAGGAGATGGTTGGAGCCCTAGGGTTTATGTTTGTTTTCCAGGGCTCTAAGACACTAAGAGCTGACCATCGCCGACACCTCGTCCGCGAAGCAGCCTGAAGGGCTCGATTTGGACCGTGGAGGCCTCGCTAGGCACCTGCAAGCAGAGCTGGTGGAGATCGGAATGTGAAAGGCAAGTCACATAGGAGGATGGCAACTCGCACTGGCACGGAGGATTCCTGCACATGTCTGGAAGTGTTTGAGCCCCCATTGGTGGCCCGTGAAGCAATGTTGAATCCTGTTGAATCTATTCCTGGAATTGCAACACCACTGTGTCGAAGACGCCAATGTCGGTGACACAGATGCCAACGTTAACGTTGGATGTGTTAGCAGTTGTTTTCAAGCATTCCACAGTACGTACTCTTCCTCACATGTTGATCATTTCGCATGTGTGTGAACATGTTTGAGGAGGCCTACGATCCCCCAAAACCTTTTTGCCCGGTTGCTTCATGGACTGCACCACTGTGCTGCCATGGCGCGTGGGTGCGAATCTCTTGAGCTGGAAGTGGGACATGGACATGGTGCTCCAAAGCGACGCGGGGAGGCGTGGAAGTTTCGACGCACGCTCACCTATTGGATTGCGATCATGCTCCTCAGCAAGCTCCACTTTCAGATGGATCGGTGGTGTGTTTCGATTTTCCCCCGAGCAATGGATGGAGCGAATGGAAATGGATGTATGGATGGAAAACCAATTGTAAGGGACATAGCAAATCAAGATTGCTACTGTCGATAACAATGCATTTTACAGTGCACAGGACGTCTCAAAAAAACCAATATAGGTCTTTGAGCCCTTAACAAATGAACATACATTCAAAGAACAACTATTTCTCAGAGATCTTAGACTGGGAAGGGGGGCAACCTTCAAGAAGAACAAGCAAGGAATAAATAACAACTCATAATGTTTCCTTAGAGGTCTTGGGCTGTAAGGGGGGGGTCCGCAAAGAGTCTGCATAGATTCTGGTTGTCATTAGTAATTGTTGTTTAAGTATGTCTTTGTTTTAGACCCCCCTGCCAGCTCAAGACCTCTCTCAGGATTGTTTATTTTTTGATTTGTAAGCCAACTCTTGGCTAAGGCCTTTGGCCATGCACTTGCAAGTGCTGAGGTGAACTGTTAAGATACTGAACAATTGAACGTCGTGGAAAAGAATAGATATGTGATGATGGATGATGTCCATAAGCATATACACATATGAGCAACAACTTTTATTTAGGCTTTTCTAAAGTCGTCTACGGCCCTACGGCATGCTTTATTTGCTTGTCTATCATCAGTATTCGTGAACGAGAAAGGGCCCCACATAAATGAGATGCTTTTGCTTGACGACACTAAAGTAGTCTGAACGAGATATAGCGCTATAGTGTGATCTGCTACTAAAGTAGTAAACGAGATAACCGTGACATGACCTCCTACTTAAGTAGTCTAAACGAGATAGGGCCCCCCACACAATAGATAGTGTATTTGAGCTTAGTACATAAATTTCGCTGCACACACACATATATATATATAGGGTGTGCATTACCTGCAACAGTCAGTAAACAATTATCATAATTTTTGCACAAGGCCTTTACTAACCATCATCATCCACTGTTGCAGGTAATAGGATAGACCCAATATATATATATGTATGTATTCGCACCCAACGGTTACAATCAGCAAAGATAAATCAGGGTATACCACTTGTCAATTGGATTCAGAACTCAGTCGGTCGTGGACCATGTCCATCAGCAGATCCACGGCAGTTCTCCACCATCAAACATGGAAGATCATGGAAGTATATGACGGATGATCCAAGTGTATATCATGTATCCCGGATGTATGTGTTTTTTCTCCCTTGCTGAACGGGTCATGAGGTGCCTCCCCCCCAAATGAACGCACCCGCGTGCAACTACCGGGTCGCTGGAGGTTGTTTCGTGTATTCATGGGGGGGTCATTCATGGGGAAACACGTGCACAAGCCGCAAGCCACTTCATATATACATGTGCTTGAGCAGGCAAAAGCATCATATCATCATCATATCATGTACGAATCCACTGACCATTTTGTGACACTTGGGGGGGGGCACTTCATTTCATGGCGTTATCCTTGCAATTCGGTTGACCCTTGAGGAATAGCAACACGAATTGCATCAGTTCCGACCGCAGCTGCAACCCCATGGACGCCCTTCCGAGCAACAAGAATCCTCCAAAAATATATCCGGAGAACCTGCAAGTTCAATAGCGCCCTTCCTTGCTCTCGGGGACTTGTTCGAAGAGGCGACGGGCCCCCCGAACGTCCTAGGTTCGGCGAGGGCTCAGTGCTCTTCGTCATTGGCGCGGGCTTCGCAATGTCCGGGCTGACAGATGTCACTTCACCCCACTACCAGCGGGTCACGGAGCTGGCGTTGGCGCCTGGGTCGGATGGAGAGGGGCTGAGAGGGTCCACTCCGTTTTCGAAGGAGTGGGTTGCAGGACCGAAATGGACAGAAACTCCCTTTGAGAGCGGGAACCGATATGGTTCGGTATGAGCTGGCGGTTTGTTGTGTGGTTTCTAATGACGGTCGATTTGGTCTTGGATGTATTGACACTACCTGGACTTGACCACATAGAAGCATGTCTGAAGCTGCAAGGACGCGTGTGAAGGACAAAGCCCCATGGAGGGTTTTTGTCAGTGAGAAAGTTGGCTCAACCACCGGCTTTGCAATGAATTGTTCCTCCTGCAGCCCTTGTTGTTTGGTGGAGTCATCACTCAAGCTGAAGAGAAGATTATACAACAAGCTCCAGGTTTTGGAAACTGATGTTTGGCATAAAAGAACAAAGTGATTGGCACTATAATATATATATATATATACTGTATATATATATATACATACACCCAAGCTGGGTGCGCATCACCCATGAGGAACAACTCATTTGGTCTACATCACCAATTAATTTGACTGAGAGCAAGCCCCTGCAGATTCCTGTCACAGCATGAATTATGAATTATTCATTGCTCGCTGCATGAGATGCTATCCTTGTGTTGGGGCGTTACCGGGCTTTGTTTCTCGACAATTATGTTTGTGAGGATTTGGAAGCTTCCATTTCAACCAGGTGCCCAACTGTACAGGCAAAGGCCCGTTCGCCCGGTTGACATCTTCCATCGCACTAGGTGAACACTCCCTACTGTGTGGGCGCGGTGTGTTTCACCGTGGGCGCATATTTCGGAGTGCTGAAGGTGGTGAACCTGACCACTCAGGACGGTCTGAATTGGACGGATGCCTGATAGGCACAGGTCTCAGATATGAAGCCTCCAATGAGTTTGGAGCATTGGAAGAGCACACGCCTTCGGGTTTTTGTTTTCTATGACTCGTGTAGCAGGTTTCCCAGTTTCATCCGCCAGGAGGGTGAAAAATTGCAACTCCTGGTCTTCAGCAAAGCCCATCTTTCCAGGATTGCCACAGCCGCCGATCTCAGATCCTTGGGCTTCGCCGGGCTTTGTTTCTGTCGTGACGGGTTTCATCGCTAGTTTGGTTTCATCGCTTTGTTCACCTCTTTGGTTTGTTTTTTCTCTTGAATTAGTTTTGTTGAATCTTGACCTGTTGTGATTTGTTTGGGTGTGATGATGTGAGCTTGGGTGGTTCTGTTGTGGTTGTGTTTGTGGCTTGCGTCTCTACACGAAGAGACGGGTCTTTCCAACTGCATAATTTCAGAAGGACCAACCCCGGCCTGTTGGCAGTTTGCAAAAGGCCTGGAATGAGGAATGAGGAAGCTTCAATCACAAAAGGGAAAGGCTCAATGGACTGCCAGAAGGGCAGAAGGCTATAGGCGTGTGCCTATTCACCGAAGGCGCTAGCCATGTGAGCGACAGAGCATCGGAGGACCAAACTGTTTGGCTTCGCACT